TCGTTCCTCTTTATATTCTTGTTTATGATTTTTGTCTTAATGATGCCATAGCCCGATTTTCGTCCGAAAAAGGGGTTTGGAATTTGAAATATTTTTACGAACATCTCGGGAAGAACACTTGTTGCACTAACATATTTGCTGCCCTAGATTATGTCTTTGATTTACAGGTGTTCCAAACTCAGAAGGAGAACGTTTGCAGGGAGAAAAAGACAGAAAACTCGATTATCCTCCCAACGCAAAGGCCGCATGAAATGCCTAGTCCTAATCACGGACTCATGGATATGAATAGGGATAATAAACCTTTCAGACAGAAAAAGGTTCAATACCACAATATCGACCTCACAAAGGATAAACCTTTCGAATGGGGAAAGGCTCGAAAGAAAGTGCTAGGAATTTTCGAAGCACGCCAAGACCAAGGTAAGTATGACATAATTTATATGTTCACTAATGCTGACTTGGCCCCGTTTGATGTAGGAAAAACAGTTTCGAGGACGAAACCTCCAGAAGAGGGAGGGAATGATGAGGACCTTGGAATCCCGAGCGATGCATCAAACTATATCTTGGAGATAAAAGAACGCATGGAGCTAATGATAGCTTGGAGCGGGAGCATGGACGAAAGCTTGGAACCTACGAAACATGGAGCTCAACCGGATCACATGGAGCTAGGAGCTCAATCGGAGAATGACGTCCCACCCGATCACAAGGAGATCATCATCCGAGATGAGTCACGAATGGTTGTACAAAATCCGAAGCATGCACACTTCTATTCTCGGCCCGAACCACCGTTAACTCGAGCCAAAGCACGTACTCTTCGACAACACGTCAAACATGTTCGTCTCATGCCTAAACGAACCTTGAGTCGAAGAATGCAAGCTTACCTTCCATCGGACCAGCCAAGACTCAACTCCTCTCCATCTCAAACCTTAATTTCGGCCAAGAATAGTCAAGACACAAAAGGGAAGCTTCTTGGAGTGCAAGCAACTTTTCCAACAGCTATATTCTTCCCACCTACCTTATTAAATGCATAGGCTCCCACCCCTCTTGCATGTTTAGCATTTAATCACAAAAGAGTTGTTGAAGTTTCTACTATTTATATGTGTTTTTCATATGTAAAACTCAGATTTGAATATTGGAAAGAAGTATTTTCGAGTTGAGTTTTACTCCTCTTGTTGGTGTGTCCGACATTGTCTCGGTTTGTCCGAGAAATCCCGTCTTGGTTTGTCCGAGGCTTGTCTTGGTTTGTCCGAGACCCTATCCTTCGTTCTCTATCCATCTCTTGACTATGATTCGAATTCGAGAGCCTCTACGAGTGCCGGTGATTGGATCAAAGTCCCACAGCCCTATCCTTTTCGGTCCTTCTCCAACCATCGTTCGAATTCGAGTGCCTCCACGAGAGAGCCGGTGATCGTTCACGGATTATCTCCACCTCCTCCGTGCATACATCACCACCCATTTAGAATTGAGTTAGAGGTGATCTAACCAAGGCATTAACAGCTCGAATTCTGATCCTTTGTCTCACGATATCATAAGTTGAACAAGGCCATGGTTTGAGCCACCCTTCAAGTTCAACTGCTTTCTCGTCTTGGCAAATCGACTAGTAAAATAGATGCAACTTCATCTATAGCGTGGCCACGCGTTTTCATAGTCCGACTTCCACGAGAGGGCCCAGCGATATCTCTCCTGTTAAGGAGGTGACAAGTCCCATATTGCATGTCTACTATCTCCATATGATTCGTGAACGTATCTGATCAACGCCGTTATAATCATCCGGTTAAAGACGACGTTTGACGCAATCAAGACACGCCACTCCTCATATCAGATACTCTAGACATCTCAGGTACGAGGATCCATAAATGAACCGCTGTATGAGATTCAAGTCATGACTATGTCCATGTGACAATCTCATGCGGGTCAACCAGTCACTCATTCACAACGAGTACCCATGATTGTGATCTACATCCAACGCGTTGATCACACCTCATGCTAGTCTTCATTCAACATTGTTCCCACAATGATGACTGACTAGGGAGTTTAGAATCATTCGCTAATGATTCAAGGATGCCGAAATATAACAAACATGCCAATCATATAACGGGAATGTAATGCATTCATAAACCAATGAATCAATACAAAGTCAAAATGTCATATCACGGATCATCC